ACTAAAAGCAAGAGACATGAAGCCGATAATGTGACGAGGAGGTTTTCATTTGATGTCAATCTTTGATCAGGGTATACTATGATGTTTACAGTTCCTCGTACAGCCAACTCAAGTCAATCATTAGCTTCAGTGCCAAGACGTGTATCAAAACATTGTCTCAAAACATGATATCAGACATGATTATCGTTGTGGGGAGTGTAGGGTAGATTGTGATAGTGAGATTAAGTCCAAGAGCAGCAAAAGTCTTGTGCTTACAAGTGAAACATTTGGGATCTGCTCCTGCTTCGTCGCACTTGGACTTGGAAGCTTGTACAAACTTTTGCTGGCTATCCAAAATTTCAATGAGACCTAAATGAAGAAATCATCAAAATTCTAGAATCTAAATGCTAGTGATCAACGAGATTCTCTACATGGAAACTGAATCGAGGACAAAAACTATACAAAGCAAAAATCTCATTCACCCTTCGAACATAACAATTATATTCAAGCACTCACCACAACCGAGTGCTCTTCCTAATGAAAATGAAAATGAATTACAATAATCCTTTTGGATTATGACGTAAAGTTGTAATTTACAAGCATAACTAAACAAAGAATGAACACATGAGTGCACTTCTCAAAAATGACGAGACATTGATTGGAAACAATGGTGTAGGGCTAAAATCACTATAACTACAATGGACTGCATAACCAGGAATTACGTCGGTACATAAATTCAAAATGTAAAGCCATCTAGTCTACAATATCATGCAAAGCATACTATCTCCAAGTTCAGTTTTAAGTACAATTACCTCAAGACCCTGCTATTTGGGCTCTCGCTGTCCGTGGATGTTTGAGAGTTCCACTCGTCAACTTCCAATAGATTGTTTCTATTAGTATCAAACATTCTAAAAATAAGATTAAGCTAATTCTTGCGTATGAAAACGTGAAGAGGGATGTGATCTCAAAACATCATAGAATTTTTTCCAAGTGAGTACCTTGCCCGCCACTTCACGAGCGACAAACTGAATAATGTCATCAATGATGTCAAGATGCTGCAGCAAGTCACGTAAACCAGCAAGATCTTGAGCGCGACATTTGTCGATTACTTTGGGCCATAAGCAAAATCCCATCAAAATTCCCGTACACATTGCCAAGGATGCGACAGAGACACAAACTACACATCTGTAAAACAAGGTCTGATGATATTCAAAATCGCTGACTAAGTTCATGCCACATAATGTTGCAGGGAGTGTTGTTAAACTGATTGAGAGGGTGGAGATATATGCTGAAGATATCTCAAAAATATGATGGTTCAAATCTGGAAGCTATCATAAAATCCCTAGTCAAATCCGCAAATCCAAGCATTCGAAGACAAAGCAGTTGGATACTGCAACAAAAAACATAGTCAATGTGTTATATGAGTATGGTGGATTCATCTTGCTTTGGCGTGGCTGAAAATGTACTGTGCATTTCTCCTTGTATTGTGATCAATTGGATGATCCAATGATCTTTCTAATGCCCACTAGTCTTTGAAGCATCCATCTACTCTTTCATGCCATCCAGCTTAGTAATTTCAGGTTTTTTACCGACAATTCTTTGTTTTTTGCTTGTTTTTGTTTGCATTGCATCACATTCAATGAATTCTTGTTTTGGAAATTCACTATTGAGTACCAGGGGGTCGTTGGGAACGACGTGACTTGCAGGTGGAAACTTCGTTTCTGAGACACAATGCACAAAGGACTGTGGAGGTAAAGAGCATATGAACACCCGGGTGTGAGAAATTTGCGAAAAAAGTTGAAGTTGAAATGGTAGTCCCCTGTGCATTGAATTCTGATCCCATAGCTGAAGAGTTGGAAGTGTACGCGTGATGCGTGAAGTCATGAAGTGGAGTTCCCTATGAATCCATTGTTTTAGGAGAATGTTGAAAGATTTCCAATGTAGTGGGAAGGACTCATCTATGAGTAACTTGAAAAAGACGTGAAAATACACGTGGAGTCTATTATCCCGTAAAAACATGATTTCCAGCGGAAGTGCCTGGTACTTTGCAGCAATTTTGCCACCTAAGATATTTTACATTGCAGCTACCTCCCGTGTGGTAAAGAAGACAGCTGGCCCGCCAATGACCGGCTAGTGTTCACTGCCGTTGCCGATCGTTCGACTTGGCCCTTATATCTAGAGGATTTTGTATGGGAAGATGATTGATCATTACGCGGCCACTAATGAGTGATTGATCTCTATGCACATTTAGGGCCTTACCACGCTGCCGGCAGCCGGCACCAAGCTCCTGGCTATAAGAAAACCAGGTTTTCGTAGGCCTAAGTTGGCCAGCTGGAGAGAATTCCATAACCTCTACCACACTACCGGGAGTGCCTTTGGAGTGAAAAGGGAAAAATAACCTCTACTAATTGCAACGCAGCGGTGAGAAGTCTTTGGAAGAGTAACCCCGGAAGGCCCGAAAGTACACGTGGAGTCGGTCTATTCCGGAAAAACCGGATTTCCAAGCGGAAGTGCCTGGTAGTTTGGAGAAGTTGATTTCTTTGCCACCTAGGATATATCAAATTGCCGCTCCCTCTCGTGTGGTAAAGAGGGAAGCTCGGGTGCCAATAACAAGCGAGGATTAGCTGCTGCCGGTCGTGTGGTCGGTTGATAGATGCCAAGTCAAACATGCTCCAATATCCACTATCGCAAAGCATATTGGGCGCATGGTAGTACAGATGTTCATAAGCATGCTCTTAAACCATCCGGTAGGGTGTACTAAACGTATCTTCTGGCTACAATGTGTCTTATTCCAATTTAAGGATCATACAATTTAAAGACGGGTGGTTCGGAGAGAATGGTATATCATATATCATTCTCAGTATCAATGCAATACACACTTGGTGACTGCTTTGCTTAAAGCAATGTTTCTTGTTTTCTAAACATGATGTAAATGCAATACTTTTTTTTATTACCTTTGACAATTTTCTACAAAGATCTTGTGTGACTTTCAAAGTTTTACTTGAAGAATTGAGTCACATTGTCAAGTGTCAACTTGAGTTACTCATGTCTATAACAAGGATGTCCGTGAAAGAGATACATGTCATACACCACATGCCTCTCACAACAGTACTCTTTGTCCATAAATTGGACTACAAGCCTGAAATCTATCTATGAGCTTGTGGATGTTTGAAGTTATAAACTTTCTTTTAGAGTATCATGATGTTACTCGTCAAATTAGAACTTATATTCACTCCTAAAGTTTGAATGCATGTCAACGGGTCTCGGTATGTCATTGTTTTCCAACTCACACCATCTATTTCGTTTGCATCGTTGACACTTGTCTTGATTGGTGGTCAAACTATAAACATCTTCGATACTCCTTCAACTGGTGCCTTAATTACTTAAGGCAGCAAGCAGGGGAGGATGAAATCATTTCCAGATGTTGATATGTATACTCCTTTTACAATTTTTCTTTTGAGATTATTTAGAGCTATAAACATCACGTCCATAGAGACATTACAATCAGTTTTGACTACTGCAGGACGGATATCTATGCAAAAGAAATGGGATTTCACTTTACTTAACACAATGTGTACGTGATATATACAGCTTATATTTATTGCTTTCTGTAAAACGTACATACTTGTTAAAAGACATGCATGGCATGTGATAGTAATACAATGTAAGGGATTTTTGGCTTGATTGTTTGGGTATCATGGATGCGATGATAGATGTCATCCAATGCTCTGCCGTATCCTACACTCTCATCACTTGATCGTTTGACTATCCACTGTGCTAAATCGAAAGGTTTCCTCCTTTGCTTCAGAGTAAGTGGCTTCAGATGTTTTATTCGACCAAATAACCGTTTCCATTAAAATTCCACGACGAATATTTGAAAGGTTACTAGGTAGAGAACACCATCTTACGCTTGATTAGCACTAGCTGAAGTGCTAATCAGCATTTCTTTATCATTCCTTGAGTTCGGTTGTGAAACTGCTGTAGATCATCGTCTTGGCCTGCACGCTTTTAATTCTCGTGTTGTTTCTAGCTTTTAACGGGGACACTCCCTCGCATTCGACTAGTACAAAGTTAATATTATCCTTCGCTGACCTAGTCTTGAAAACCCATTTTGAACGGATTGAAATGCATCCCCAATTGGCCTTTCAGCCAACCGAACAAACAGGAGATGATTACGTTACGTTAAAATTCAGCGAAAGTCCCGAAAATGACCAGGGAATTCAATGAAATGAAAAAGCTCTAAATTGTTTCCCAGTGAAGGGCAATTGCAAACTCAGTACATCTAGATGAATCACCCTAATAGCGACTTTGAATTGATGTTCACTTACTCACTGTGGGCATATTCTGCTTCTGTCACCAAATTCTCATTAAAGCCAACGCAATGAATGAAGGGGCAATTCTGACTTCTGTTACAAATATTGATCCAATGGAACAATGTCCATGCGTAATAAGGTCTCACAGTTGATCACCTGCTGTGGTCATTTCCAACACGTCAGCTGATGGTTAGACGAGTATTCGCAGACTCCATCTGCCTGTGATACCAGGAACGTTCTCAACGTACTTCATACAACCGAAATTGCTGCTCTTCTGGGAAGTATTACATTAGGCTCCGACACTCTGGAGGTGGAGGAGCCAATTACAACATTCTTGGTTGGGATATTGTTGCTCCTAAAGACTCTCATTTATAAGAAGAAGGTCCACAATTCCAGATGTTTCATTGAGTACTACATTTCGCCGGGCCTCTATCAGACCTTTGATACATTCTCGCTGTAGCTTACTATCGAAAATCAGATACGGTCTACAGCTAGTTTCAGGCTATGACAGGTGAAAGAAAATCCGTGACTGTACTGCTTTGCCACACATCTCCAAGATCTACCCAAAATCTTTTTGTAACTCGTCAAATACACCTCGGCCTGTTTACACTACTGGAAAAAAGTCGAGTTCCACTGACTCAGCTCAACAAACTAGAAAAAATTCAAAACTTCCACTACAAGAGAAGTAAGCGATCGGGAACATTGTTTTCTTCCTGGAAAATATACTTTATTAACAACTTACATCGTTAAGATCAATAGCCACACATTTCGTACTGTTACAACCAGGTATGAGTCTGATTCAAATCGATCATCCCAAACCACTGCATAACAGGTGACTAAATTATTGGAAAGTAGTGAGCCAAACATATTTGGCAGGTGCTCGCAGTTCTTCTGATCAAAATTGGGAATGTACAGCTATACACTAGGATCTCTTCCTAAAAAAGGATTGAACGGTTTCAAGTGGGAGACAGATGCTTACTCAGGCTTTTTCCTTCTTTGTCAGGGCCTCCCCACGATACTCCTGGTTCGCCTCTACGGCGCAACTTGCTCCAACTTGGCAGTCCTTCAGGGACTACCGTTCTTGCAAGAGGGCATTGCTGCAAACTACAGAGCTTTGAATGGAACAGAAATCCTGAATGGTCACATAATTCATTACCACCGAGTTCACAATCGTGACAGTGGAGCCTATTCTACAGTGCCTTCCAACGACTGAGCGTTTGATCCTACATTTGTCCCCCATCTCTGACCCCTCTCCACCCAAACAATAAGGTCCGAGAGAGGTCTTAGAACCAGTCGCAGCTGTTTCATGAACCACGTTGTTGTGGGGTAGATACTTTATAGCCTGTCAGATGAATAACTTCATCGGCAACAGCTCGATTCACCTCTCCATAAGCTTGAAAATACTTCACTCGTGCTCAAAACTTGGCAGGGCTTGCCACATATGCACAACATTTCCAAGGTGAAGAAGGCTTGTTCGAGCACACACGCTGCAACAGAGCAGAAACTTCATCTGTCAAGGAACTGACCGCATCGACCCCGTTCTCCAATGACCCTCCTCGGGGCTGGTCAGAACCCTCTTCTGAAATAGATGCTGTGACTCGACTAGAGCCGAGGCGGAGTTGCGATCGAATTAAAAGAGGAACCAAATCGCGCTTTATGCATTTGATTCCAGGTCTGGAATCTAAGATCTCTTGGACAACAACTCTCTTGAAGGCGTAAAGATGTGCATCCACTAAATCGGTCCGGATCTCCATGTTCCCAGCTGCACGGAGTAGCGATCGCTTCATCCTCAGCTCCTTCTCAACTTGTCCACTAGATGCAAGGAACAAAAGGTGCTGATGCGTAGAATCCAGACCAATCACATCAGAAACTGGCAGCTTCGTTGTATCCTTGCTGGAACTCCCAGTGCTGCCTTCGGAAGAGTTCAGCTTAGGACGCCCGCACAAGAGAGCCGTAACCACAGCATCCTGCCGCCGATGTGCTGCTACGACTGCCTCGAGTGGCACATCACTGACAAGATCCCCACTAACAACAAGAAAATCATCTGTAATAAGCCAATGAGATATTTTCCTCAGCGCATCGGCAGTTTCGTAGTCCTCGGGAACTGAAACTACCTCTACGTTTAAGCGATCATCAAAGGCATTTGAAATCCAGTTCTCCAGGACCTGAAAGCGAACGAAGGCAGAGTCAGCTCTGGTGCTTTTACACAGTAAGTAAAACATTGCGAGCGTTCAGCTCAAAAGTTTTTCTTCATCCAAGCGAAATTCCACGACGTTTGGTAGATGTATTGAAGACATTTGGGCCTTGTCGTTTCTTCCAAGGCACCCTCTCTCTCCGCATGATACTCGGTTCAGAAATCCCTAAATATATGATTAAGAAATCAAGATTCTTCAGAACACAATATCAGCTGATGCTCGCCTACCTGAAGTAGAGGATGTAACACAACACGCACAACGAGTGCTCAAAGAAAAACTGAAATCTTCTACCGGCCGTGAACAGCATGGCAACTTAGCGATTTCATTCGATATAACAATTAGAATTTCATTCCCTAACCGTCTGCTTTATTTACCCAGAAAGACATTACGGCTCACAGTAGAGATTCCCAAACCTGAGTTGCAGCTTCATCGCCAGCCACCACGACGATGACATCCTTGATGTTACTCGCCTCCATGAGCTCCAACACATAACTAATCAGCGGGCGATTTTCCACCGGCAACAGCGCCTTCGAAAGCCCTCCGCCCCCGGCAAGCACGACGCCTTGAAAATTCATCGCAACAGAGTTGATTGGAAGCTTTTCTGCATTTCATGATTGGACACTATCAGAGGTTGTCGCCGTCTGGGCAATTTTTTTTGGTGACCATGTAACTAGTGCTGCTTCCTTAAGCACTCGTCTCTGAAGAAAAATTCCCACCTGTGAATCTGACTACGAATGAACCAGGATCACTGAAGTATATGGAAATTTTCCACGTACGTGCACGAACTCAAGGGTTGGGTATTGCGCAAGTTAGTGAAAACGCGTGTTATGAAGAAGGCACAAACCGAGAAATGGAAGGCACTCGCATGTGTATGAGCCTTAGACAATGAATTACGGGTAGAATTTGTAGCTGCCGCGGCTGGAAACTAGAGCTTGTCAGACTACGTGGGGGCAAAGCATCCGGACCGAGCGCTCGGGAGTGGCAAACTCGAAAATTTTTGCGTCAGCAGAAGGTGTCATCCCAAGTAGATGGGCACGCGTGGATATGCCAAGACATGCTCGAGCTCTCACAGATGTCTTTCCATTCCTTTTGTCAAATAACTTGGTGTCTCTAGTGGTGATGATCAGGACTTGGTTAAGTAAACATGCTGTCACTATATCCTGGTGCATGTACAATTTGTCGTGATTTATTCCTCCCGGATTCTATGTGAACTACAGCAGAAAACCCAATCAAACCTCTCTCAAACATTTTGCTTGTACAGTCAAGCAGAGAACGATGGAAGAAAGCTCAGATGTTCTAACTTTGGAGTTGTAAGAATCGAAACTCTTCTGAAGGAAAGTAAGTTACCTGCAAACTTACTGCGAACTTGAGAACTTTCTCGAGTTCGCAGAATTAGGTGTCGAATCCAATTGGCAGACGGATCCACGCGCGTGTCGAAAGAAACTGAGAGAATTGAGAGAATTGAGAGAATTCTTCAACTCGACTTCAGACGCTGCGAACGCTGCGAACTTGATAATTTGAGAATCAGGTGTCGAATCGGCAGACGGATCCACGCGCCTGTCAAAAAAAATTGAGACGCCAGACGCTGCCTGTGAATTGGCACAGATCCGTCACGAAGACTGTCTGGACTAGGTCTCATATACGGCAAGCAGGTCTCCTTCAGATTTTCATGGGAACATTCCAGACGATTGTAAATATGGCTTTCCTCGGATCGAGCACCGCCTTTCCGAGCTCTGCGCTCTGCCATCGCCTAGGAGATTTCAAATCCCCTGCCTCCTAGAGAGGTAAGAAACCTCCCTGGCTCGAGGGAATTGTTCCCTCTGTATAGATGACGATGTCTGATCGGGGGTTGGTTGCAGCGAGCACCATCGCGGTGCCGGGAAATCCAGCGACAGTGCTTCTCTCCTACACTCTTCACAACAGCTTTCCTTCATTCCCTTGCTGCGGCTGCCATGCACATCCTCATAGATCTGAAGGCGTTCTAGATCATTAAAATTTAATGAATACTGCAAAAATCTTCTCCACCCCACTAAGTTAAATTTGAATACTTTGTGACGGGGCTTGTATCAACTGAAGCACCATTAGACGGCGGCTGAGGAGAAGTGTGAAGGGAGTCGCAGCCTACACGACTGATATAACAGTGGACGTGCGACGTGACCAGATCGCGAGTTTAGATCTCGATCAAACGAAATGCTAAATACAATCCAAAACGAGAGCTCAGAAATGATCATCCCACTGACAAGAGTGAGCAGGTGTGCGATCTATCTAAAGTGCTTCAGTCTGTGAAACTGAAGAAGTATCGTTGCCAAAATTGTTTTGGATCTAACACATTGGTTTCTTTAGACATCCACTAAGCAGTGGGTCAGAATAGTGGAATCCGCCCGACAAAGCAGATGAGACTAGATGTCTAAATTATATAGGTGACTTCAGACAGCGGAAAAAGGTGCTCGAAAAGCAGTGCTTGAATTGAGTAAGTTTCGGAGAGAATGAACTGTAGCAGTTGAATGTCAGAAAATTCTGTCCTGATTTTATTCCAGAAACCAGAAACATCATAAGCGATACTTCCGCTCGATTCTCTGAGGTACTTGCGTGTAACGCTGGGGGACTTTCAGCAAGCTATCAATTCATGGGTTGGGAAAAGTACTATTGATACAGCAGCATAAGGCAATGGTAAAGTATTGCTCTGAGATGATCTGGTGGTGTAGATCTGGATCAACCTTCTAAAATATACCTCTTAGCTTGCCGATGGTACCCGGCAGCGTGGGCGGATGTAACTTGGAGGGAAACTAATCCAGAGCCAAGTCCACCTTGGCTTTCTGGCGTTAGCTCGATACCTTAGAGTGTAAGTGGGGGCATAAATGTATGAATCACCACAGCGATTCTCCTTACCTGCAATGGTTGCCTACAGGATCTTGTAACCTTAGCTTCTCACAATTGCTTCAACAGAAACGAGACTATCTTAAATGCGCACTGCCACTGGCAAAAACTTACGGGCGAATATCTTGAAATTCCTTCACCTCTGGCCTGAGCCTGCTCCCGAATGTTAATCTACTCAAATTATACATCTCGCACAAACTGCTGGAACAAGCAGATCGCTTCTACGACCCCTCGTCCATTCCTCTGCTTTCCATGCTCAGGATCGTATCTATGTCTATTACCTTCGTGTCAGATCCAACTTTGCACCAGCTGAATCGTGGAAGTTGCCAGAGCCTTGATCACTGGTTGCCACCAATAAGCAAGTCCCTCTAGCCATGTTCCCTACAGCTTCTCTCGTGGCAGAGTATACAACCAGTCGTTAAGATTCTGCCTCACGGTTACAGGGGACAGGTGAAGCTGCGGATAATAAATCCTGGATTAACTCCCATGGGCAAAATTAGTAGGAATAGCAACATAGCAGCATCCTTGCATCGCTTTCACCCGTCACGTTCATTCCTGCCGCCACACCGAATCCTATGCTCAAGCGTCGATTAATGAACATCATAGCACAAGATAATGTGACAAGATAATTATTCGAGTTTACATGACCGTCTTGTACCTGGCATTTCCCTGAATCTGTGCACCCTTTCGGCCCTGCTATAATGCTCGGGGACTCACGAATAAGAACCTTGGAGTAAGAGGTAATTTATGCAGCTGAAAAAATGTCTTAAGCTTCCTCTGTCACGACGGCCAGATTGCTGGGGCCAGGACTCGGGCTCGCGGGCTTGGTTTCGTCTTGCTGGCCGTAGAGGGTCTGATAGACTCCCGTGGTCCTTTTGATGAGGACGAGATTGAGACAGACGCCGGTCATGATGAAGAAGGTGAGCCGGAAGCAGACGGCTGCCCTGCATTGCAGCAGCTCGTCGCTCTCCCCGGTGTGCACGAGAGGCGCATCGGCGTGCTCTCGATCGTAAATGGGCCGGCCAGTGAGGCCTGAGAAGACTAGCGTGCCGGCCGGTCGGCAAGGCCATGGTGAGAACGTTGCACAGAGACCCGAAGTTTGTCAGCCCGAAGAGCTCGGAGGCAGTGGCCGGCACGTCTGAACCCCACCAGCAACGAGGCGATGTACATCGATCCCGGCCATGCCATCGCGAACATGAGATGGCCGATTGCCATGACTGTCTCGGAAGCCGGTAAGATCACAGGCCTCGGCAGCACCATCTTTCTGAACTTGGAACTTGGCTTTAAAATCACCTTTGAACCCGTTGTCAAGAACTAGCCTTCACGACCAGAGGTTTTAAGTTAGCAGTTCTTACAGAGCTATCTCAGCTCATAGCTATTAAAGTATATCACAATTGTCCAGTAGATAGATATTGCTACAAAACATTTGGAGTAATACTTTTAACCAAATAATAGTCTGTGTCTCAACTAGCCGTATATATCAAGTTGAATAAAAATACGGGATTAAAGTGGAAGGTTAAAAAAGGAAACATATTATTAAAGACATACACAACTCTAAATCCTGATTAGCTTCTTAAAATGAACCAGCATACAAATCTAAACTTAAAAATCTCGAGTAAAATATACATTTGATATGCTAATCAATCTCATATTTTTCATGTAAAGCATTTTTAAGACAGAGATGAGTGGTTTTCATGAAACTTTTTTACCTGTATTAAACACGTCAAATTTTACAAATGCCATTATGATTATGATCCTATTCATCTTCACTGTGAATACATACATCTGTAAAATTGTTGTTTTATTACCATAATTTACATATATTCCATGAGAAAGTCAGAGATCTACTTTTAAAGTAAGAATACAGATAAATATTCATCTATGAAGTTCATAGATGAACTTTATATACACTTTATACAAATCATACGATTTATATTTTAGGATAGAGAGAGCAAACAATTTTTCTTGCTTTTAGATCATTGATACAATTAAAGAACTTAAATCCATTCCCATGAAATGAAATATTTTTAAAAATCTTTTGAAAGAAATGATTCGTCTGATATAATCTTAATTGTTATGCCAAGATGGTAAAATATCTGAATTTTGATCAGAATATTAATTCTCCAATAACATCATCATTAGTATTCTAGGAGATATTTTTGTTTACTTACTATTTTAAAGAATACTATTATGATATATTCGATAGTGATTTTCTTATTCTCAACATTAGGTCTAAACAGTACTGTACATCTGATCTGATTTTTAACTGAATTGATCAACAAAAATCACAAAAAAATCAATGCACAAATTCTATAGTAAATATTGTAACAAACTTGTATTCGATGGAAGAACATATTCAAAATCTAATGAAGTCAGGTAATGATAAAAATCAATAATCTGTGGTTCGATTGTGAAGTTGTTGAGCTCACAAGACTACATGTTTGATTCAATTCCCTTGTTATAGTTCCAGATGTTTTAAAAGTGTTTATCTCTTCTACACATCACATGGAAAAGAGCGCAGATTACTTGGTACATTCTTTGATACCACGCTTGTATAAGATATAATGATAGCTAATCTAAGGTCGAACAGATAATTCATGACTATAGAAACACATATCCAAATATGACATTTTGGGATGATAACAAGTGATTGCCCACAAAAGTGACATGTATAATAATTTATTCATGATCCTTTATATATTTATTTAAATAGTGATATCATATTAACATTGAAAAATAATTTTCAGCTTCCATTTTTGGCAACTCATAGATGAAGGAAATAACACCTTTAACCAAATTAAAATTATAAGCCCTAAAAATATTTCACATATTCAGTCAAATTTTTTACTTTTTTTCATTTAAATTTTTTTCATTTAACACATCCAAAGAATTTTTCTTATAGTCTCGATATTTCTTATTGTATGGAAGACTGATCAATTCTAACCCTTTTAAGTTCTACTGTTTGAGATTTAATTAACCTCTTCACACATTTTTGTTTTTATAAATTTGAAATGATGAGAACAAGAATAAAAATATCAGCCAAATAAAATATCTGACTTTTTGAAATAAGCAATAAATATTCATCAATCATGCAATTATGAGCTTATCCGTAGATGTCTTTGATCACAAAAAAAAAACCTCTAGTTTTCTTTCTTTTTTCCAGATAAAATATTTTATGTATATAATACATTACAGTTTGAAGGTACATTCTTTTTCAGAATTTCCATAGGTTTGATTAAAGATTATAAAAGATTGAAATTCAATCCTTTATCTTAAGACAATACTAGAAACGCATTCAATAATGTTTAGGATATGATTCGTGATGATGTTTGTTTGTGACACGTTTGTTTTTCTGTGCACATGGTAGGGGGTTTCAATGGAGTCGTTGGACCACTGCGTTGTTGATGACAAGTTAAGAGGCTACTAATCTCCCCGTTATAACTGCATGATCTGTGGGTTATATTATTAGTTGGAAAGAGTACTAACAAACTTTGCAAAAGTTACTTAGGTTTGTCAAAGGTCAAGTTGTGGGGCTCTACGAAGGGATAAGAAGCGTTGTTCGAGAAACTTTAGAGAGCTACGACGTCCCATTTGCAACACGGTGCGATATATACCAAACCGGAATTACATGAAAATGATGGAGGCACTATTCAATTGCCATGAACTGAACTAAATTGAGTTTTGAAGCCTGAGAAATACTAGATTATAATCAGATTTCATAGTTGTATTTAAAAAATTTCTGTGTGTTATACATGAAACTTCAACTTTTTACAAAGTCACATATCATGATCGAATCTATTTGGTCAGTTTTCAAATCTCGGCAGTGAGTTGCTTTCTTTTCCATGCTATATCTTGCTTTAGGAATAACAGGAAAATAGAATAGTTACAGAAAACCTCGATGATTGTGCCGCAGGATGGTAACAAAACTATAAAATTTGGTAAATGATTAATAGTAGGGATTAGAGATCATTTTCATATTGAGGTGAAATAATAGCTTTTGACAAATTCACAAATTTCTACGTTCATTTGTCAAAGCTCTACAATGGAACGTTTCCAGGGGTTATCGAAGATCATAATCCTAGCAGTAGAAAGTCATGAGCTTTCTTCTCCATTGCTCAAAATATGATATATCGGAGGCTAACAGAAGACATTCGCAGGGATCATTTCCATGTACATGGTAAGAGAGAAGTAATTACTACAGTAACATGAGCTGAGTAATGAAAAGTACACCACAAATAAGTCAATTAAATGCAATGAGACAAGGGTCTACGGTGATTGTACGGTCATAACAATAAATATGTGACCCACCAAATTCCCAGGTACTTGTCTTCTTGTCTCTGTCGATCACTTGGACGATAGCCGTGCTATGAGGTAGGCTGGTCCATTCTCGAGGCGTATATGAACAACATTTGCAATGATGATACGATATCTTCTCATAAAAAAATTCAAGACTCTAAATCGGTCACGATGTCTGCCCTTAACTATTATGTCCATGCTAAAGTAATTATTGCATGCATAATGGTAGTATTAATTAGTGCCCTGGACTGCTGAAGGATGATCATGTTGTTGTAGGGTCAAGCCGAAATGTTGTTTTCTATTACCAGTGACAACGCATGAGATGTTCGGTACCTCGAAATCCAATTTGTAAATCTGAGTTTAAATTCTCGTTTTTCATAACAGAGTAATATTAGTTTTCTATTGTCAGGTGGTTCCAGTTAGATTTTTCCCCATGTCCGACCCAATTTAAAATATAATTCCAAAAAGTTTCTGCATGCTAAAATATCAATTCACTGCGGATTTGCTGCATGAAAAACGATTATTCTGAATTTGGACATGAAATATTACACTTTTGAAATATTTGGGCGAGAAGATAAATTTCCTTTATGTTACAGGTACGCCAGAGATGCTTTTTCAAGTTGCTTCTCGACGAATTTTAGACAAATTTGTAGATTCCTTTTCATGTAGAAGCTGGTGCAACAGTTTCAGAAGTCGAATATTATCATGTTAAAGAATCTAGATTATCAGAGTTATACATGCTCGAATGTGAACATCTTGTTCAAGATCAACCGTCATCAGCAATGGTGATGTAAAACTTGAACGGCACTTCATTTGTATTTCTTGATGATTCATGAGTTTAACGATCACGGTCAAATGAAGACATGTTTGGGAAACACGTACATGTATCATGGTAAACTCTATTCTCTCGTAAGTACTGCAGAGGTACGCGGTATCAGTTATCAATAGATGTTAATGATCATGTGTGCCTTCGTCAACACATCAGTTTTTCCCGCGTACCGATTTTACTGCCGGATTTACTGATTTCCTGTATTGTGATGTGAAGTGGGAAGTGAAAGATTAGTAGAAGGTGGCCCATGTGTGTGACGCTAAATTGAGCTAAGACAGTTGAGAGTTTGTTACGAATTCGCAGGCGTCTACCTGTTCTGTGAGGTGAAATGGGAAGTGAGGGATTGGCGAGCTTCTACTCAAAGTCTGTCACAGACTTATGCTAGCAGAATTGGGATTGTTAGAAGTGGATTTTTTTTTACGTATTTTAAAATGTATTTTTTTCCATGTTTTACTTGCATTGTACTAGAAGTGTGAGATGTAGAGGTGTGCAGATTTCAGCTTTCAAGATAGTAAGGCATTTGGGATTTGTGTGTATTTCACAGTCGTTGTTTTGCATGAACAGTTTTCCGCACACAGTTGTAAATTTTGGGTGTTGAAAATGTTTCACGGTGCATAATGTCCGAAGCATGGGTGTATTAGTAAGGTTATCAACATCAATCCGCTTATTTCGTTCGGACTTACGTCTCAAAGTAAACAATCTCCATTTCGGGGCAAAACTGGTTTCGATAGGCACATCCCATGCACGAAATATTATTCGAAGTGTATTTATAATTTATTATTCAAGTTCTGGCTAAGAGAGGGGCCTCAGTTACACAGATTGAAAGAATTTCACAAATTCTTCACTTCCCGCATGTATATTCTATATACAGCAATTCTAAGCTGGGCACTTAGACGTGCGAACAGTGCGAACGAATGGAGCATTACAATCTTGGTCGACACCCATGGAGGTGGCTTTAGACAACAAGGCATTTGTGGTGGCATCGTCAAGCTCAGGACTTCTGGACAGTATCCACATAGTCTCTTCAGTCCCGCCCGTGAGCACCTCCATGCAGCTGTAAACAAGAGCAGCATTGTACTTGCTGCCCTCTCCGTTCACTGCCAAGATCCAGTATTTTCCTGGGAACAGTTTCTCAGATACAGGATCGAATGAAACACTGAGTTTGCCACCGGAAGAACCATTGCGAACAGCCTTGCCCATTGCCTTGGAAATGTTGTAGTAGGCCTTGGTCTTGTCCTCAAGAACAGCACTAGCAGCTTTGGAGGACACTTCGAAGGCAGCCGTCATTGCTGTGACCTGGGCCTTGATGCTGGTCAGGCCTCCCAGAACTTGAGTAGCTGCGTCAGTGAGAGTGAACGAAGGCCCGATACCATCGCCTCCCTTCTTGAAGAGGGTTGCAGCTACATTGATCAGCTCGAGCTGGGCATCGCTCATAACCTTGAACGAGGCGTCCAAAGACTTCACTTGCTCAGAGGCCAAAGTGATAGTGGCCTTCATGGATCCTACAGTTGAGGAAGCGTCCGCGCTTCCATCTGTCTGACTCAGAATGGAGTTGGAAGACTGAATCTGGCTCACGTACTTTGCCAGAGTGTCGACCTTGGGAGCAATTTCATTAGCGGCAGCTTCAATCTTAGCATTCGCAGAGGACACGGAGCCTGCCTCACTGGAGTAAGATCCTTCGATACTGTTTTTCAGCTTCCACACCTTAGAGATGCCCTCCCTGAGAAGAGAATCACCAATGTTCACCTGAGAGCAGACAGCTCGCGCGCTCTGGCAGACTAGAGAGCATGAGCCGGAGATTCCACCTACAGCAACCACAGTCCCGGCCTTTGCAGACAAATAGTGACTGTTCTCGACCTTGAGCTCGTTCTCCTTGTCACTCGAGCTGTACTTGGCAACAGCACATGTTCCTCCCGCCTCGAGTGTGTTCTTGAAGTTAGCAGTGCTTCCGATCTCGTACCACGTGCCGGAGTAGGCTGACAAGTCGAGAGAATCGACAGTGGCAAGGCTGGGGCAAGTCTTCTTCGCCAAAGAGTTCGTGCAGTAATCTGCGTGTACTACACTTAAGAATGGCAGCAGGAGCACGAGAGAACTCAGCACCATGATGCCTGAATGGCCCATTGTGCTCTTCTCTATGAACTCACAGAAATTAGCTCCGCTCCTTCACAAGAGTTCCTTCAGAGATCTGAACAGAAGTGTCACTGCTCCTCTTCGAGACGAGCTATCTATACTCTCTTCAGCTCAGGCAAGAAGAAAGGGAAAAGAAGAAGGCCCTGAATCAGTTCTGAAAATACTGACGAGCAAGGTGTGCGGTGGGTTGGAAAGTGGCCACAGCTTCCCATGCACTGCCGGAACCTGACTGAAGAATTCTTCTATTTTGACTTCTCTCCAACAAAACTTAAATGCTTCTCGGATGACAACTACCATAACACCACCTTCGGGGCGGAAGACGACATCCAAGTCAGCGCAATAAACTCCTTAAGCTCCCTCGCCTTTTTACCCGGAGGCACCAAGCTTAAAATGAACTCCCGAGTGCTGCTCTCGCGCTTGCTGCTTCTACCACCGATGACGGGCCTCTTGCACTTGAGAAATGCGTTGACACAGGCATGACAAAGCTCCCTGGCGTGGACAGTTGGTAGGTGGAAGTGAGACGAGCTGATTGGCTGCTCAGAAGGGAAAGGAAGGAGCAGTCGATGGCCTGAGTAGCTTCGGAGCCACTCTTGCGAAGTAGGATGGCAGAGCGAGGGCTCGTGATTGTGATACGAGAGTGAGACTGCCACAAGTCGTCGACAGTCAACCTCCGCGACCACCACGAAGCTTGCCATTGCGGAGATCACATGCAGCACCATCATTGAGCGTCCCACTCCCTCTCTCTCGGTGGATCCTGATCGGCGCGGAACTCTCGACGTCGCATCCAATAATTGCCCCTGTCCCTCCGTACGTCGCGCGATTCTCTCAGAGGTGGGACGCTGGTCCGTAGTTCTTCCGTGGATCTCCTGTCGGGCGAGCATCTCCGTCTATTAAACCCGCCCCGCGGCGTCTCTGACGTGTCCCAGAGAGGCCTCCTCGTACTCCTACAGGGTGTGATGATGAGGAGGCGCCTGACGTTGCGCCTGGCGTCCCAGAGAAAGTACGTGCCACCTGGTGACATGGCATTCCCTCAGTAGGTGAAGAGTAGGAGGGAGCCACGGGAGGCTTGGCACTTCCGAATTGAATTTAGTCAACGCGGTCAGACCTGTTTACCAGACTCCTGTCTGACACTTTAGCTGACAGTTATCACGGTTGACTTTGTCTCTAAGCTGTATATAGGCACCACATCCGATCTTTGTACAATGCAATTGAGCTCGAAAGCTCACTAACCGTTAATAGTCAGACCTTTCTGGGTCTTTACTCGAAGGACTTTAAAACTTTCATCGAGACGATTTATGACATAAATTTTATGTGCTACGCACGTTGGCAGGTTTAGTATGAATGCTTGCAATGTCACCCACTTTCTCGGTTTCAATTAACCGCTTTTTTCCATTCTTTTCCGCGAAAGACAAGTTCTATGTTGTGTCTTTGACGCTTGGGCCATCTATTAGTCTTTAGTTTCATTTCAAGTAGGTATTATTTATGCTCCCCCGCCATATTGACCTATGATAATTCTAGTTGGAATCAAAGCTATGCATGGAACATCAGAGGTGTAATGGTACATAGAGCAATTTCGCCGGAAATAGAGACTGACTCTGTTTGCTTTGTCCTGCATTCCCTCTCTATGCTTCACACAAATGTCAAACATAAAACACATTCTCTGGTATCTTTCGCATATATACCGTAAGTAATGGGAATCATTTTTCCCGCGCGCATAGTTTACAAAGTGTAGATTCTTTAAATAACAAAATTTTGACCACTAAATGTAAACAGGTGATTTTAGAATTCACACACTTTCCTATTCTAAAGATATTAAATTTCAAAAGTGTCAAAAGTGTAATGGTATTCAACCCATCTTCATTGAATGAAAGAATTGCTCTCTGCTGCGGAGTTGATAACCATAGTACTTAATTATTTAGTATATAGTGGTTTCACACAAGTTGATCACATATTTACACCAAATAATTGATTTAAAACGGAGAGAAATCTCTGCCGTCTGGTATATTATTGCTCGTCAACATGAACATGATGGAGTATAATGGTCATTTTTGTTCTGTATGCATTTCTTTTAAAACAAAGTTCCTAATTATTTGCTAAATGCATGTAAGATAAATGTTACAATTCCAAAAGATTGTTCAAAATCACGTAAAGAAATTTTCAAGTTATGTCATCATTTCAACAATATGAAATAAATGTATCTATATAACTCATTATTATATTTGATACTAAATGAAAGATTGTGTCAAATTGCACAAATTGAATTCCATATTACATAAAGCTTATATGGTATAGTGAATTCATATATTCAAGCATTTCAATTCAATCAATTATTAACATTTTGAAGAAAAATTTTGAAAATGTAAAAGCTGTGAATTTATTATATAAAGATAAAATAAACAGTAGAAAAAATAAGCAATTTTACAATTTAATCTTTTGATGTAATAACAAACCAGCATCCATTTTTTATTTGAATTTCCAAGAAAAACACATTCAAATTAATACTTTAAGACTGTTTATAATATAATAATTGATTATTTCAACAAAAATCAATAAAAAATTATCAATATTTATATATATGTGTAACATTATTACTTATATAATTTGAAATAAAATGAGATCAAATTTGAGTATCATTTTGCAAAGAAGGTGTGAATTTGCCAAAATTACTTCTTCTGTGCTTATATTAATGTTCTTTGACACCAACAAATAGATTGAGAAAACATATTGATCTGTTTAAATTATAGTTTCACCTCGTTGAAGTGTTATTCATATCAAGAATATTTTTTGGTTAAAATTTGTAGCAATTGAAAATTATCACAGAATTAAAGCTCATTAAAGCACATTCAGATTGATATATTATTTCAAAATGAAAAATTTATCTAGAAAAAAAACAATTGTGAATAGCAGTAGTAAAATCAAGAAGATTTATTATGGTATATATGTTTACAATACAATATTTTTCATGCTTTGACATTGTCCAAATTTACAAGTTAACAATCTGCATAATCATAATGATGTTATTCAAATGTACATAAAATATTAGATATAGGATGAAGAATATTTATATATGTTGCATCATATATATATATATATATATATATATACATACATACATATATTTGCTTATGTGTGTGAGGGATAAAAAACTAACACAGTGTTATTCCAAAACTTTAATTTTAGATCTGTGAATGATTTGTTCTTTGAACAATTTAAAGATTTGTTGTGAACTAAATTATATTAAAATGAAAAATATGATTATTATACTGTTAAATACACTTGCTAAAAATGTGTGTGAGATATAAAAAGCACAATATATTAACGTAACTGATTATTCTAAAATTAAATTTCATAAAATTCATATAATCAATTCACCTCACATTATATGTAATAAAGGAATATTATTTTAAATATAGAATAATCATAAATGAAATTAAATCATTTTGAAATTTAATATCATAAATTCAAATTCAATCAGAATGTAAGCATCTTAGTTTGTCTATATATATATAATTATTTTAATCTTTTGAATTAATTATTTACATTTTTTGTTAGAAAACATAATTCATTGTTATGTAGAGTAAAACCTTTGAAATTTGTAAAGCATTTCAGAAATAGATATTGATTTTTAAAGAAATTTGTGATATACTCTATACGTTACATCAAAAATAGAAAATAGTTACAAAAACAAATACATTCATCATTATAATTGAATGATTATATGAATTACAACAAAAACTACATCATAACTTGTTCATTATTATTTGAATCTTTTTATAATAGATCAAAATATATTGAATTGGATTTACTAATTTAAAATGAAATTTATCAACAATTTTTTTGCCTGCATCAAAATGTTTGAACAAAGAAAAAAAACTGTAACTAAACTTATGATATGTACAAATTTTGGATTTTTAACATAAAATAAATAAATAAATATAAATATAAATATAAAACAAAATATAAGCAATCACATTAATTTGATAAACCTAATCATAATTAAGAAGATCAATAAGACTATTACTATACAAAACAGTTTAGCTCTCAGTGACACAATTCAAGATTTAAATTAAATATTGTATTTATCAGTCAACTAATGATGGCAAAGTATATATATTTTTTATCAATTTACTGAAAAAATTAAAATTATTTTCAAAAATTTTAATTTATAATAAAAAATAATTAACTAATTTTTTGTATAATAAAAAATTATTCAAATGTAAAGAAATTTCAAACAAAAAATTATGTTTATTGGTTTGTCAAAACATATTTTTATTACATTTGGAATTAAGAAAATTTTTAAATTTTTTAACAAGTAACTGATTATATTGATGCATAACCATATTATATTGTATTTTTTAATAATACAATTAATATTTTATTGATCTGAAAATTTATTATAGGTTTTAAAAAGTGAAAATTATTTTTTGTGTCATGGAAAAGAAATTCACAAATGATATCATAATATTTTCGTAATTTAAATTAATTATGAAAAATATAATTCAATATTGATAGGTATGTCTAAAGTGATTTGAAAATTTCAAGATTAACTTTGAAAAGTGATGATTCACATATAATAATGTTGAAATCAATTCTTTTAATTGAAGTCTATCTACTTACATATTCATAACAATGACACCACTTCATTTTTTATTTCATTCAAAAAAATCGTTCATATTTTAAATTTTTCGATTTTTTTATGTATAGAGTTGATTCATGTGAATGAAAGAAAAATCATGATGACAAAGAGTTATATTAGAAGAATTGAAACATGCATTTCATAATAATATCAACTATGTTAATAAATATAACATAAAACTGAAAGTTTCTCATATTTGTAAATTTATGTTGTATAATCAAGTAAATGATGCTCGATATCCTCTTACATTCTTATTGGATTTCATACCGTTGTTCAAAATTTAGAACATATAAGTTTGGTAATTTTTTTCTTATTTTAGAAGATGTGTGTAAAATAAATAAATAAGTTTCGTAAGTTTATTTTTACTTGTTCAAGTCATTGATCACGATAAAGTTTGTAGTTGATAGCTATTGCATGCAATTACAGCTTAATTACTGTTTAAGATATATTTTAAGATTAAGTCTTTTACTCAAGTATTTTTTTAAAAAATATTTTATGCAAAGGATATGTAGCTATGTTGTCACGTCAAATTATGTTTACTTTTGATAAAGATGAATAAAATAAAAATTCGAGAGATATCTTTGAAATTTTATCTGTATATTATGTATCCATTTCTTTTAAAAACACAAAACGATTCATCCTCTTCTATGGATTACGGTAGAATCACAGGCACATACTCTTAAATCCTATTTCCTATGAAAATAAAAATTTGATGCTCGTTTAGTATTTGGCATCATACATAAATATGAGCGGATATAATACGAGACATACGCAGAATTGAGATAGAAGGGATTTCCTGTACTGACATGACTAGGAAGGTCAAAAATTCTCGTGAGTCGTCAGCTGAACAAAAGTGTTATAACGAAACCTCGTGACGAGAAATTTTGTTCTCACGAAATATGGACTGACGTGATGAGACACATAGTAAGCCATTCTTACAAGATTGTTATTATCTAACAAAGGTACATCACAAATGGCACTGGGCAGATTGCCAAATTCGGCGAGTTTTGCCGGATCGTTTCGTTTTCCTTCTGCATGACCGACCAAAACATACAAACCTTCTCTAGCTGAGTTCTCAAGCGTTAATCAGATGTAAAACTGCAGTTGAGTTGAAATGCATATGATTCTGCAGGAACAGGAATTTTGGAAAAGTTGTATGCATTCTACGAGGATCTGACTGATCTCCAGATACAGAAGCAGAAGCATTAGAGCTTCTCGCGACCGGCTCAGGAATCTGTTATGGGCGATGTGCAACGAGGACAAGTTTGCTGTTGCTGAGGTCGAACACGACACAGCACAGTGCTGTGCTGAACTGCATCGGTATCCGCATGGTTTCAAGTAGGAGTAAGTCTGCCCCACAAACAACTTCCAGCGTGTTGTGTGTCATGTTGGTTCTCAGTGATTCTTTCACTGCGGTTTTGGTTTTGTATAATTATTTCCGCTTTGGTCGCAATTCTTGGCTGAAGGATTGGTCTGGTGCAGGGTGGCGTTTAAGAGTTTGAGTTGACAGAACGTGACGTAATTAGGAGATGAAATGTGATGGCGATCGCACGAGGTAGGATCAGATATATGATGTGGTCTTTAATTTTCTGAAGGAGTGGAAGAAGCTCGGCAAGCGTTTCTTATAATTCCTGGTGAGATTACAAATTAGCGATCCTTTCTCATGTTGTTTGAAATTCCTGCCCAATTCTTCATGATATTTATCCCGGCTGGAGCGCAGCAGAAAGATATTTTGGATTGATCTACGCACGTTGAGACACTAGTTCTTGAAAGAAACAGCGAACAAGTGCAAAAATACATAAAAATCTTGCATACCCGTAGCATCAATCATACTCTGCAATCTAGGTCAGGCAAGATCAAGTCTTTGCCAGTAGTCTTCTTGTAATGTCTGCCGCTTAATGTGAGTAATAAACGAGTTTGCTGGATGGTACCAAGCTCTAAATTCAAAAGATGGTCAGAGAAACTATGGAGAGGTTGAAGGTGGAATAAGCTCAAGAAATTATGATGCTGTAGTGTCTGTAGTGGAACAGAAGAATCCTCTGTAGAATGCAGTCATTGTGTTCGTGTTTTATGAAGACGAACAATTCCCCTTCAGCTTATTTTAACACGTTTTGCAATTGTAATGTGAAGTCTGTGAAATCGTTTTCAAACATTTTCTCGTCTTCTGTAGCAAGCTCTGGCACCCCTTCTTATTAACCCACTTACTCACGATCATGTATCAGGTGAAGGAAGAAGGTGCATTTTGGTGTAATTCAAATTTGTCTATTGAAACTAAAACATTTACGCACTGTCATAATTGCTAAGCTGAACAATGGCTTCATCTCCCGAAAGCTCTGTTAAGAAACCAACCATCGGCAGTGGCACCGGAAGTGGTGTTTGGCGGAAGGTGGAGCTGACAGTTCTCTTCACGTACGCGGGATGTTTTCTCGCAACGGTCCTTTTCAAATCAATGTCTGTTTCTACAGGTCTGATTTTAACTGACTCTGAAAGCCGTCTGCTTGTTCTTGCAAAGGATTATATGTTTGTACTCTCAAGTTTTTAACTAGTAATTCGGAACTTATTTTTTCATGTCCGTAACTTGCAGAGTATGATAGCGTAAGCAAAGCAGGATGGTTATGGGGCCTCAAGCAGGGTTGGATCATGAATAGAAAAGTGGTATATTCCTTCTCATCCTATTGTTAACTCCGTCTTATAATGTTCTGTAACTTGGATAAGAGTTCAGTGTTGAGTCACGTTCTCAACTGTCACGGGTTTACAGTACCGTTTACGTGATTGAAAGTTACCTTTGTATCGTTCTATCCGGTAGTTTTCATTTTATGTATCAGACTGTTTGCTGAGTCTCACAATCATGTAGTCAACTCTTACGCATTAGCTTTACCTTATTTGCAGTGATTGTTTTAATGCAGAACATATAGGTCTGCTTAATTTCAAAGTTGATGTTGAATGTGAACAAGGCTCACACATTGTACTGATAGAGGAGAAACGGATCTCGATGTGTCCATCATGTATTTGAAAGCAAGATGCAGACTGGTCAACTCGCTATGATATAGCTCAGGGTCATCCACCCAATACGTGTGAACCTTGATATGACTAATTATGGTATTCACTCATACGCAGGATCTGTCAGACAGTCAATGGCGAAACTTTCGATCCAATTTGCCTGTGCTTGCAGTTGTAATGGGGTCGTTTACTGCAGTTGGTCAAATTTTGAGATCAACTTTTCAGCTGCGCCGCAGAGGAATGTCATGGTTCTGGCTAACACTGTCGTTGGTGTATATAGTGTACTTACATGGGGCTAGGTACAAGACCTTCTCCTCTGTAATGAGATCTTTCGTGAACCTATATATTATTGTTTGTGAACCAACCGTTTAGTCTAGGATGTCTAAGTTATAAGTTCTCAAATATCGAACTTATATGTAGATGTTGTGCCGCCGCTTCATTGGAAGTTGATGTATATTTGACATAAATTTTCAACGTGTGCTATTTGTTTCTTAATATTTGCGGTTTTTTTAATTATTACTGACAAACTAGGTACAAAGGCTGAAGTTATTAGTTTTCTTATCACGTTGTTGGCACGTCTTTGGCAGTGTTCTTTTCATATTAGCTATCGCGTTGGGAAACTATTATGTCGTAAAGGTAATCTATGCACACTTTGAGGAGAACTTTTTTGGTACTTTAGTCTTCCTGTCAAAAGCTCGTTATCTTTGCTTCCAAAAGAGCTTTTATATGAAGGTGGTGTTGATATATGATTACTTCAAATAATTGTGGTGGGAATCAGGGCAGTTCTTTGGAGGTACGTCTGTGCTTCCAGCTGTATTGTGGGGATACAACCTTTTGTTTCTAATATGTAATCGAGTGTACGGAGGATATCGATTTTCCTCATTTGGGTAAGTTCTTGCCTTTGTTGTTCAATGCTTTCAGATTTGCATAGTTTAAAACTTCTGGACAAGCATATGAGATACTAGTGGTAAAGTCTTCGAGAAAAACTGTTCACTCCTCTAATCCTCCATTAAAACTTTTCAGGGAGCCATTGGCAATTTTGGATAACTACAGAGGTGTAATGCGCTGGCATATCAGCTTTAATTTGGGTATCGTGCGGTCCACCCATCACCTGGCAGCTTACAGTCTTCTTCTTCATACAATATTTCGTGTAAAATCATAGTTTACTATCAAGAGTACTCAAGAGCAGACAATCTCGGAATGTATATGTAGAGGAAAGCATTTCTTGTATTTTATGGTTTCTTATAGTGTAAGCTAGATATGACAACATCATCACTTGTCTGCCTGTAAAGTTATGCTGCGGTTGGTGAGCTTTGGTTTGGACTTCCATTGGGCTCAATTAGCTCGAATTTCCACGACCAACTGGGAGGTGCGGCCTTCCTTCCCATCTCAAACTATAAAGGCAGTGTGTTCTTCAACAAGTTCTTTATGGTTTAGGAATTTTGAAGCTGTATTCACATCCTGTAATATACGTTCCTTATATGCAGTTGTGTTTATCAATTTATGTTGAATGTGCTCCATGACAGTGGAACGAATGGACATTTATTTCATACTTCTGTAGGACTGGTTGTGCGGGGATTCCATCCTGTGGCAGCAGTAGTTAGAAAGTGGCAATTAATGAACGTAGTCGTTAAGTTGGTTAAGGTCACACAACTTACTGCCTTGCTTGTTTTGCCTCTCTTGTCGCAGAAGCATACCAAAAGCTGCAAAATTTGTCAAACAGGTGGATCCTGCTATTTATCACGCCAGGTTTAGTTCTCTTCCTTAACAGAGATTCTTGATGTAATCAATTCACTGGGAGACCGCTGACAAGACTACTTGAATCAAAGTCTGGTGCCTGTAGGGCAATAAGTCAATGTAGTTGATAATCACGAGGGTGGATGGTGGAATATTCTACTGAAGGTTTTTGAGAGCTAGCTAATTTTTTGTCTAGCAGTGCTTCATTCGATTCTTATCTTAGGTCCTTTGTCTTAGTTATAACGTTGTCAGTCAATCAGAAACCAACTTGTTGTGAAAGACGTGTCACTTGTGTACTCATGAGCAAGTCAATGCGAGAAATGAGAAGCCTTCTATGATATGAACACTTGATTTTCGACTGGACAAAGGTCGCACGCCTATTTAATTAATGGGAGTTTGTTTTGCCAGGAAGTCGCTCTAAAGGATGAGGATTACAATGTGGTCACGTATTTGGCATATCTTCTGTTCGCACCTTTGTATGTAGCGGGGCCAACTATCAGCTATAATGCGTTTGCTTCTCAGGTTTCTAAAATAAATTCTTCTAAGCTTCTTCCTTACGTACTTGAATAAATGCCATTTATTGAACTTTAACATTTGGTAATGCTAGCATTTTCGTCGGATGCTACTCCTCTTGAAGGTCCGGGGAAAACTTTCCATCATGCGATATATGTTTCTATAGTATACTGAGAATTGACATCATATTGATTTTCTGTTCTCATTTCCTTGTGTTTGTGTGACAGAAAAGGCTTTGGCTTTCATAGTGTAGTCTGGTAGCGAGGCTCAGATTTAGCAAGTTCATTTTAGATATGTTTGTGCTGCCTCAATCACCGAATAGCTTGTGGCTGTACAGAAATATAATCTTAAGCTCCATAACTATGTGTCATGCAAGTCCATGACACAGACCATTTCTCATGCTCTGCAGCTCGATTTGCCTCAAAAAAGTGAGAGCAACTCACGAGTGTTCATTTATGGACTTCGATGGATTCTCTGTTTGGCGTTGATGGAGTTCCTTACACACTTTTGCTACTTTAACTCCCTTGCCATAAGGTATTATCAAATCTTGGCAACTGGTCTTGACATATGTCCCTATTTCCAGATACCAACTGTTGGAATGAATGCTGACAGTTGGCCATTCATAACCTGGATATGAGGAAGAACTACGATCTATGTTATATTTCGAAGCGCAATCACTTGTCAATTGCAGCTTGCTATTTGAATTAAGTCAAAATTCTGTCTCGTGTCATCACAGCGGAGTGTGGCAAAAGCTTTCACCGCTGGAGGTCTTCATCGTCGGCTACGGAGTAAGTGAGCTCAGTGCTCAGTTTTCTGATGGAGAAACAAAATCTGGATAAAGTTATGTTTAATGTATACATATGAGCTTGATGACGTTTTGATTTATATTTAAACTTGTCAAAGAGGTATGTATAACCTTGGTCTTTTACTCTCCGATTTACTTTCGCTCAACCGCAATACCATCGTGCATTGTTTTTGAACAGGTTTTAAACTTCATGTGGCTCAAATTTCTGCTAATCTGGAGATTTTTCCGTTTTTGGGCCTTGGTAAGCTCGAACATATATTTTCCAATCGCAATGTAAGCCAGGAGATTTTTATGATTGTCATTTGTTTTCGTGAAAACCGGAATCGGCTTCAAATTCCTTTGGTGTCAAGATACTTCTACGTTATCAATCGTTATATGTCTTTGTAGGTGGGTGGAGTCGAGACTCCAGAAAATATGTTGCGCTGTGTGAATAACTGCTACGATCTTGAGGGTTTTTGGAAGAGCTGGCATGCTTCATACAACCGCTGGTTGGTGAGGTACTAATCAGATTTCCAGATGATCTAATTTTTTATTGAAACCACAATATATAGTCAGAGCTGTTTTGATTATTTCCTGATCCCGTCAACATAAATGTCTTGCTCCAGTTTCGGTTTATTGCAATAACTTATAATGAAATTGTTGTGGACTCTACATAGGTACATGTACATCCCTCTTGGTGGAAACAAGTGGAGAATGCTCAATGTCTGGATTATTTTCACATTTGTGGCTGTGTGGCACGATTTGGAGTGGTTGGTCCCTTGTACTTACTAAGTGGTTGAAATTTAAAACAGTTTTTTTTGGAATGTTATCTCGTGTCTTCATCTTCGTATTTTGAAATATACTTTCTAGTGATGCGCTGTTATGAACCTGGACGTCTTCTTCGCTCTACTCAATTCGGCAAGTGACGCTTGTCTAACCAGGGGCCTTTAATGCCTTTACAGGAAGCTTCTGTCATGGGCTTGGGTGACATGCCTGTTGTGGGTCCCCGAGCTGAGTATAAAGTATCTGATGAAGACTAAACCGGTCAGAGTCGTTTTACCGAGATCTTTTGAATTGGTTTCTCAGCTTCTTTCTAGTGCTACCCATTTGGTTTTGCTCTACATGCGTAGGACTTTACCTTGGAAATGTGGCCCTTTACTGCTTGTCCTTGATACCGATGTGTTGCTTTTGTCGTTGTAAAACTCTGTGTGCTGAGGTTTTGTGGTTGCAGATGCAACCCTTTAAAACTACTCACTGGTACACCGAATGTTGCGCCATTGCTGGAGCGATGAACATCAGTGGCCTCATGGTGCGTGGTACAGTTGAATTTGGGTTTTGATTGTCACAATATAGCTACGTCCGCATTACCTAGATCTCGAAGGACTTATCTCTACCTATTGTTTCTGAGTAATCTTTTTGTAGAAATTTAACAACTAGTTCTGCGACTAGGGCTATGCTCTCAACAGTCATTCAGTTACTTAATTCTATGTTTGGGTCTGGATTTTGAGCCAGAAAGGTAGATATTCACTTTCACCCCTCTAATCCTGAATCTACCTGAACGGTTGAACAATTAGATTGTCACCATCTCGCAATCCTGCAGGTAGTAATTCCTGTGGTTTCTCTTGTATTGGTATGTGTGTCTACTGTTATGTTCTGTACATCAGAACTGGTAAGTTAGATTGAAGGAAGTTCATATCAATGCTCAAGAAACTGAAGAATCGATTTTCTCAATCGCAATGATGCAGGTCGCCAATTTGGTTGGATTTGTCGTTGGGCCCTCGGGTATATGGGTGTTAGCTTCCCTTTTATTCACTGTACAAGGTAAATGTCTCTGACTTTGAATTAAGACTGCATCGGCAATGTTTGTCATAAGAAGCTAATTAACGCGTCATTTCTTATCTTCAACTTTTTGTACTTGTCAACAGGTATTCCAGTGCTCGTGGGAGTCTTCATTACTTTCTACGTTGGTTCTAAGGTAAGGGTATGCTCGAGATTTTCTTCATTATTATCCAAGTTCGAAGTAAAGCACTGTGGCCATCGTCTTTTGAAGATCTAGTTACATGTTTTTGCAGGATGTCTTCAATGAACGAAGTCTTCACTTCAAGTTTAGCCGTTGATGACTGACAGCTTTGATTGCTCTGCAGATTATGTTCTACAAGCGTGAACTAGAAAGAGCTTCTCATGGGAAAATAGTGACTGACTGAACTCGAGGTACCCGAAGTATACGCTTGTCAGAAGTATACCTTTCGGATGTGGAGAGTAGGAAGATGAAGGTTAGTTCAATTTTGTCAGAAGGATCTGTCCAATTGTGACATTGCAGCAGGAGACTTGAATTTTAGCATCATTGGTGCTACTTCACAACGGAGATTTGTGTACAATGTTTTCGAACTTGAAGACGGCATTTTTTCCAGTTTAGAAACTTGGAAACGCCGTCTATACGATTCAAGAGTCACAATATCACTCGTGTTCCTGGTGGGAGTGTCTCATAGAAAGTCCTGAATAAACGAATATCAATAAAAATTCCTTTCTTAAAGGTCTGCAACTGTCGAATATGTCTGCAGTTTTTCAGCTACATCTTGTACTGATATAAGACACTCGTTAACTGCTGGATGGCCACTTGTCATAATCGGACGATGTCCACACCTTTGAACATGGCACATGGTGACCCATGTATATGTGTCAAGCTAGTAATGTTTCTTCCTATGCTCTTCCAGTTTCATTTTCAAAATTTTCTGCTCACCATGGGAACACAACGTGTGTGAAAAGAAAGTTTTGTCAGTTTGGTGCAAATTCACATCAAATTTTTGGCAGAAAAATTAGTCATCGTCAATAAAACAAACAAATATCTGTTCATCTCTGTAATGTTAATGTAAAGACTTATATAGGTCTTGTAATACCACATTTCCACAGTAAATTTTGTGGATACAACTTTCCCATGTTTTTAAAAGTGACCAACTTTGATAGTTTAAAAACAAATCCTGATCACGAATACTTATTTACTTATGTTTTTTTTTCAAACAAGGATTTCAAATTCAATAGTATCATGCCAATAATGTAAAAATGAAAATGAATTTTGCAATAACAAATTACGCACTTGATATTTTTAAACATTGAATTTGGTGGAAATATATGCTCATGGACATTAAGCATATCAATGTACAAAATGAAAAATGAAAAATGAGAAAACTAACAAATTTGGACATAAAGAAATATTCATACAACTCAAGAGATGATATATATAGATAATAAATGAAAAAAAATCGTGAGAGCTTAATATACATTAAGCATCAGTTTTATGTAGCCAAAAATACATTTGAGTTGATTCAAATCTTGATCTTTAATTAAAATAAATTAGAAATGTATAATCCTATGTTATTTTCTTCATAGAGTAAAATTAGAAGTGTTGTACTATAGATATGAAGATAAGAAAATATTTCAAAGCGAAATTTGAATATTTCGATTTAATCTAAAAAATTACATTGTTTAGATTTTTTTTTTGTTATCATCCATATTTGTTTTGAAATGTTAGTATTGATATAATGTATATCTCATTGTGGTTGATAGTTTCGTTAATCTTCTCTTCTTGTTTATTTTGATGCTAGATTGAACTCACATTACCATGCAATCTTATATTAGTTAGTAGACTAAATTACCTAAATTAATTTAATTTAATCTCATCATGAAAGCTAATTTAGGTGGTTGTTAGTTTCTCACAAAGAAACTCTTCCAAATGTCATGCATGGCAAGTCAACTCAGGTGGAGAGCTAACATAAGAGTGCCAACATAATTTGCTCTTTTGTAGTATAAAGAAACTTGTTTACATAAAAAAGAAAAGCATCTATAGTCACAAAAAATCTCATAAATTGCATTGAGCACTACAGTGAGTGAAGAGAATTAGTGTAAAAGCCATCATGATTGCTGGAAATACAGCTAATATTTCTTATAAAAAATGCTCTTACCACTTTCAGCGATAGTTTCACGAAGGACTAAAAACATGTGGTTTTACAAAACATAGAGCCCTTACATCTCATATTAATGTGTTTCCAAGCATTTGATGACATTGTGTGTACATATTGCACCATATTTGCTACAAATTAGTCTTTAAAAGTGAAGATTCATTTGCTGAGTTGTGAGTTTGTCCACTGAGTTGGTTCACCAATGCACATCAAACACCTCTCCTAGTTCAAATTCAAAATAGGTTTACTTTCTCAAGAGACGTGAAGTTCTCTTTGCATACAGTCTACGATTTTCTTTGGCACCAACATTCTCGTTCTACATTCCTGGTTTTTTTTTCAATTTGAATCACATCTCTTGTTGTGACTTGCATTGACTTCAAGTAAAATCTTGCTTATATTTTGAACAAGTGCGGCTAGTATGTGTTCCATAAGAGAGAAAAACCATTAGCCATTCATGAATTTACCATTAATCAAGCCAATTTTAAATTTTTTTTGAGCGAGATAACTATCTACTCAAAATCTAGCAAATTTTCTAAGAAGAGAGAGTCTCATCTTTGTACTCTTCAATACACTGAGTATATGTTTGAAATATTTGGCAAAAAGCCAAGGGTAATGTAACAACAGATAAAAACCAAAATGGAGCAGAATGATATAAATCCGATACCACGAGGATGAAAACAACATAAAAGAATCAAATGTTATCACAAATAACATTCTATTGAAGAGTTTTACTTCTCAGCTGCATGTCACTCATGGAAGCATCTACAAGTGTTACTCCAAAGACTATACAAATGGAGTTTGTAACCACATCAAAAGCCTCAAATACATACTCTAAACACCACAGAACAACAAGAAAATTTGCACTTGAAATTTAGGGGAAACTTTCCAAGGATACACTTTAAGCCTGCTGCATCGAGCATCCAATCTACAGGTTTGCTTAAATCTTGACTGCACCACTCAGATGATCCAGAATGACTAGCTCTACTTCACATGCGCTATCTTTGACAAACAGAAGCAACTCTTGCATTGTGACAAAACACACAACTCACAAACGTGCAGAGGAATGCTGTGTAAAGACAGAAAATTGTTTCATGGAAAATGCCCCTCCAAGGTAGAGCATTGGACCAATTTATTCACAACAAACACCCGGAGGCACCACCCACTGGCTGCGAGCCTCCATCAAGTGCAACGGCCACGGGCGCAGCAGAGCATCTAACTACTTCTATGCTACTCAGATCTGCAGTGAGCTCTAACTCTAAGTTCTCCCTAGTCTCTTCCAAGTTAGATGTGAAAGAACTAACTATTCTACCTAAGTGTTTGTGTCCTACTATCTCGCTGGACTCCAAGGCTCTCAACCTACACTCCAACGAATCTATCTTCAACCACTTTGTGATCTGGATTTCGTAATCCACATAACCGCGAAGACAACGTTTTATTCTAGCTCTCAAGCAAGCAATTATCTCTTGCTCAAGACGTCCAATGATCGCCTCCGTCTCCATCAATCTTGCATAAGCGGTAACCAATTGACTCTCAACTGCCGACAGTTGAGTTCGCAAACTTTTGCATTTTGCATCCAACTCTCTCCAGCGCTCCAACTCCAAAGATCTTGCAGCACCGTAAGAAGCTAATTGTTCCTCCCAAAGGGCTACTTCTACAGTTGCCAACCGTTCTGTGTCGCCAAACGCGCTGTTAGCCGCTCTGCTTGCTGAAATTCTCTCTCAAATCTTCCTCGAAACTCCTCCAATCCGTACCAAAGTTACGAAGGCTTGTGTGCGAAGGCTCCTTTCGGCCATTAACTCTCGCTGAAGATCTTTGCACTCCCACTCCTTCATCCAAAGTCGCTCGTCCCGCTCCTGCAAAGTAACTGTTGCGGCCACACACTCGGTGTTCTGTCATCACGGCCGCACACTTGGTGTTCCGCACATCCGTTCTGTCATCCTAGTGGTCGCTGCCGCCTTTGCCTTCGTACTTCTGCGCACCAACTCTACATAGGAACCGTCGAAGACATTGGCACCAAATACTTTACCATTTTCTTGTACAAGTACTTCACCAACGAAACAATACTTTCACTCAAAAGATCTGACAGGCTCAACTCTGCCGCCTTCGGCTGACAGGCCAAAGGTACTACGACCCTGTCAAACTCCACTGTCCCCAAAGACATCTGACACGAAGGCATTAATGGATCTTCTATAATCGTCTTCTCAACTGCTCCGAAGGAAGAACCTCCAAAGACTTCTCCATCCTCTCACGCACGTCCGAAGGCCAAAGATCTTCCTTCAAAGTCGGTTCTGGTTGCTCCGAAGTCCTAAGGCGTTGACGTGAAGTTTCCGTCTCAGTCTCGTCTTCTACCTCTTCACCTTCTTCCAAAGGTTTCTCCTTAGGTACATCCGAAGGCCGCCACTCCAAAGGCCATTCGTCCTCTGTTCCTACATCCCACTGCAGTCCATTGATCCAAAGACATCTCAGGCTGCGACGTAGCTTCGCTGCACTCTGCATTGTCTGGTACTTCATGCATTCTACGTCGTGCATTCACCTTCATGCGAGCATGAGTCTTTGCCAACCTCAACCGTGCAGGTGCAGATCTTCTAGTCCTTAACCTACTACGTGGAACAACATCTTCCGGAGCCAAAGGCGTCACCACTCTCCTTCGCCTCTTCGCAGTCGGTTTCTCAACATTGTCGCTAGAATGTTGATTTCGGCCGAAGATTGCGCAGCTTGGACGTCGTCATCTTCACTGACAATTTTGTTCCCTCCCATGACGCCTTCGTCCTCTAATTTGACAATTTCCCTCTTGAGCAAAAATTTCATGTTCTCTTCCTCTGTCAGCAACCCCATTCTTCAAAAAAAATTAATAAAGAACGGGGATAGATAAATATGTTGTACCCCAAACTTGTCATTCACATTCTTTTTGTTGACGCTCCACAAGATCTGAGCCAGTGAATTCGCTTCCCCGTCAATGCTCTCTTCACGAATCCTACCTATCACGATGTCATGTACGTCGTCCACAAAGATCTAAGAATCTGCATTAGCAGCACTGCCACATTGAGTCTCAGAAGGTCGATGTAATTCGTTGTCCGCTACCCATTCTTGGTCGAGGCAACAAAAACAATGATGCAAATGTACTCTCTTCCCGCCCAATCACTTTCATGTTGTGCTGGTCGTATAGCAAATCACCTTCTCGATTTGCACACGGTCCCAAGACTTAAGCCCACTATTTCACCGTCTAGCTCTCCAAACGATCCCGAATTTCCGTGGCCTCTATATCGCACGTCTCATACCACTCCAACACAATAGACGCGCAAACCCAATTCCAACCCCAATGTAAGAAATTGAGCCTGAAGGCTGTCAGTTCCTCTTGGAAATTTTTTCATTTGTTTTCCGGCACCCATGTGTTCAATCAAAGTACCAAAGCTCGCATCATCGTTGCACTCTCAATTACTCACTCTCGATCCTCATAGAAATCTCAATAGAAAAGTGAACTTTCTTGAGATGGCCGCGCGGACTTCCGTTTCTGCCTTTGGCTTGCTATGTCCTAACCATGTCATGAAGCACGTGCAAACCGTTTGTGCGATAGCCAAAGTCCTTACCGCCGGCGCCACCTTTTGCTAAGCCAAAGTTACTTCGCTCTTGAAGCCGAAGATCTTCGTACATCTTGTCCCTACCAGCCACTTCCGACATCTATAGCTCGGTAATCCCGGTATCTGTCTCAAGAGCTCTTTGGCTCGTTAGAATGAGCGTGCCGAGATCCATCTATCAAGATTCTTCCTAAATTGATCCGCCGTTAATTGCCACCTTTAAGAGGTATCTACTCTAACAGATCTTGAACTATCTAATTTAACTTCCTTGTCTGCTAGTAAAAACACTAATTCCGGTTGAGGGATATTTAATATGGAGTCCAACTAATACTAACCAGTCATACACTACAGAATTCTTTATTTAGTCTACTTCTAATTATTTTCATCATAAAAATGTAAATTTTTATTCATCTACCACTCAAACTTCATCTTTTCGTAAAAACTGAGGTACCACAAGTAATGAATGAGTATTGAATGGAAATGAAAATGTACAATATAAAGATGTGGTATTAATGTAAGTTGACAAAACCTTTGAATTCTCGGATATGATAGTGGGATGTGACACACTATAGTACATTTGATGAATAAGATAACATCTAATTTAAATCATGTGAAGGGGGAAATATATACTATATTAGCATTAATTTAGTTGCCAAAGTGAGAGTACATTGAGGTAATTAGTTGCCTAAAGTAAGCATGACTGCACATGACTATATGTGATGATAAATGTATAAAATGATGACATAGGTTGCTTTTCCATCCATTAGCAACTTGTGATAGATTTTATAATTCTTCTATCTCATATTTATTTGAATATTTGTAAACATCACAAATTGTAAAAAAATTTTGAAATATTGAATTTTTCTAAGAAATTTTAAAATAAAAATTTAATTGGATCAAAATTTAGATTCATCATAGCAAAATTTGATATTAATTTCATCTTTTATGATATTCAAATTCCATAATTATGTATCAAATAACTTCAGTGAAAGTTGAAGGAGTGTGATTCAAATGTAAATTTAGAAATTTTTATCATAACATTGCAAAATATTGCCACGGTGTAGACACGATTTAGACACATGTCAAAATCATTGTTGCAAGTATCTACCTAGTTTTGATTGTGAATTTCATTGAATAGAGTTTCATCCAAAGAGTATTTGCAAATATTTGCACCATTCTTTGCTTCAAAATCAAATTAAGTTTGTACAAAATTGAGCAAGTAACTTAAAGAATCCTCAAATTTCAATCAACTAGAGTTAACAATCCAATGCATGAAATGCAATGTTGGAGTGCAAACCTGAAATAAAAACTACACTGTTCATAAATGCAAATTTAATTTAGATGTATTGAATAAGCACACTTTGTTTAAAATAAAATTAATTTACTTCATGAAATTCAAAATTGATTTGATCATAGATCTATTTAATAATGCATAACATGAATGAACTTACTAGATTAGAACTTAAGATTGTTATCAAACAATTTGTGAAGATGTGCATGATTTAAACATAAGAATGAGAGATAAAAAAGATGAAAGTATATATACTTACTTCTTTACTTCATTATTTGAATTGGCTAATGCTTTGAAAAGTAAAGAAGTATAAGAGATTAGAATGAAATTAGCTTGGCTTAAGCATTGCAGCCCTCTTACCCTATTTGAGCACAAGTTGCGTAATTATCAGAACAGAAACCGACTCAAGGATGTGATGCGGCAAGTTCAGATGAGTTTTATGAGATAATCATAGACTTGATCAAAGTGCATTGAGATCTAAAGATGAGTTTGAATAAAATGAAAGGAGTATACCTTGAGCATTGATTATTTAGAATTTAACACTAGATGGAATTGTAGTTTAGCTTTATATGCATGTCAATGGTTAGTGTCAATGCATGTTACAGTTGGTCTAGATACTAATATGATTGTTTTGGTTCAATCACATTAAAATTTACGTAATGAGTAAAATCCAACTTAATTGTTTAAGTGTGAAGGCATAGTGAAGTGTCAAAGTTAGGCCAGATTGGAAATAACAAAATGGAATTTGGGTCAAGTCACATTGAAGAAGAATTGCGTCTAAAAAAAGCACAAGACTCCAAATTATACAAAAATGACACGGGAAAGTACATGTGGGTAGAAGAGAGACCAGGAGTAAGGAGATTCGCATGTCCAATAAGCGGGGGACAAGTGGACAACAAGGAAGAGCCATGTGTACAACAAGGAAGAGCCATGTGTACAACGAACTCTTCTTGGTTTCAGGAAGACGGTGAAGAAGCCGGTCTTTGACTCTTCGGAAGGGAAGCCGAGTAATCGAGCAAAAATAGAAAAACAGAGCCCATCAAGGCCTTTCAGAAGGACCAAGTGCTGGAATATAGAAATAGATAAAAAGAGCCCGTCAGGTCCCGCAGGGATGAAAACGAAGGGTTAAACTAGGGTTAAAGTAGTTTGGTAGGGACTTCGAAAGTGGAGTTTTGGGAGTCTTGCCTTATTTGGAGGACATGTGCCAACATTCGAGGCTGAGCTGGCCTGGACGACCTCAGCGTTGCCGAGTAGGCCGGGTCCCGCTTTTCTCTTCGGGCTGACTGTTGGCTTCTAAAGCTCGGGGCGGCAAATGACTGTGCCCCCGCGCCTATTCTTTCACGAAGCTCGGCAGCTGCTGTGAGCAGCAGGATGCGCTCTGTTGTGAAACATCGCGAGAATTGGACGGGAGCCAGCTGTCTCGACTCGCTTGTGGCATCGGATCTCGGCGAAGGAGTGCTGCGTTTTCTGAATTTTCAAGAGTTTCGCAAAATTGCGCACCAATATTTTGATTTTATAGGTTTCCTGGTGAGATTCGCCTTTTGTGCTCTGCGTTCTCGTGTGCCGCCTATAATTCCATTCTAGTTCATCGAAGCGCCACAATTCAGTGTCTTGCTGGCCCTGACTGATAGTCGCGCCCCTCACTAATGTCCCTCCTTTCTATTTGATCATAAAATTCCCCTTCAGTTTTGCCATCAAGGCTTCCAATTTTGGAACGGTGGCCTTTAGATTTTGTGTATGTGCTTGTGCGTGAAATTTCCCTTTTTTGAATTCACTCTGGTCACAATTCGAGCTGTTTGTCTTTTCACGGCGCCTGGTTTTTCTCCTACTTAAGTCCACAATTCAATTCGTCTCCTTGCGAGGCGTCACGATTCGTATCAGCTTGATCACACAGGTTGGGCAGCTTGTAGTGCGGTCGAAGACGTTGTTTGTTGTATGGGCAATTCTGTGATTTGTTGTAAATTGTCTTGATTATGTGGTTTCAAGGTATTCTTACACCGTGGAGAGCAATAATTAATTTCAATCAGTGCTGCTCCTTTATTCAGGCCGGCTTGTCATAGCTGCGTCGGACGGTGGCATTCATGTAGAGGACCGTAAGGAGTATTTGGCACGGGAGAAAGCGGACCAGAGGGAAGGAAGGTTTCAAAAAAATTGCGACGAAGGGAAATTGGTTCACCCACCGGATTGAGGTAGCGAAGATTAATGGTGGGGAGGATTTAGTCCTGAGGTGGAAAAGAGAGCTCAGTTCAATCAGCTCGATCTCAGTTCATCACCATAACACGTCATGCAATCAGGTCTCTATGAGTTCACTCGTGTGGTACTTCTATCAGGAATTCGTCGATATCCGACAGGCAGGCCAGGAACACAATAGTAACACGGTTTTCGGCTTCTCAAAAGCGACACATTGAGCTTCGTACCACCTGGTTCAAGATAAGCGGGCTGTCTCATCCAATGCCTTCTTCTTCCTCTAACAATTCAACTCAGGTGAGACTTTTTTTCTAAGTCACTCATGAAATATCTTCGAGTTATTGAACCCTGATATACAACGTTTCTTTCAGTGCATCTTTCTGTATTCAAGTCTTTGTCGTTTCAATAATATTTCAGGCGTTACTTGCGACCTACTGAACTGTATCTTGCTTCCAACCAAGGTGATCCCAGCTGATTATCTTTGCATGTCGAGAGAGGAAAATTAGTATTTACGTTGTCAAGCATACATGCAGTATACAATATTAATGGTTTTCGTCCATCCAGAAATTTGGAAGTACCAGCTTCGAGGATACAGGTTTACATGCCCAAATTAGTCTTCTTCCCAAAATGGCCGAGCACTCGAGCAAATCCACGGAGCTCCAAATCGCCGTGATCAGAACCACTACTGAAGAAGTACAATCAAGAGACTCTGTTCCAGATTGTGTGGACGTTGATCCTGGCACTCTCGAAACGACCTTATCAATGTCTGGGATTCAGTCTCTCAAAAAATCATGTTCCTTCTCATCTGTTCAACTTCCACCAGAGTTGATAGCAATCATACTGTCCAAACTTCCTTTCCCACAGATATTTCAGGTGAAGACATTGTCCACATCCTGGTATACTAAGCTCCCGAGTTTAAGACGGCCGCTGTTCATGCCTTCCTTGGTCCAGGAACACGAGAATTCTTCCAACTTGTCCCAGCTTGATGTCAGTTCCAATTGGTGTACGTATTGTCCAGTATTTGTGTCTGGACAGGAAATGGTGGGGTATGAACGAGCCCACAAACGGTGGAGAAAATTACCTATTCATATCAAAATCCCCATCCAGCAACAACAATCCCCATCCAAAGCTCCCTTTGTGGGGTTCACTGTGAACTTCGTCGGACCCATTATGTTCGTGTATCGTCTAGGTTTGGAGGAGTCCAAGATGATGGTGGCCAATCCGTTGATTGGCTGTTGGACAAAGATGGAAGGCGCCCCAACATACCATGAGTCATCTTGTGTATGCAAGGTCGGCTCAGAAGATTACAAAATCGTTATCCACCATCCTTGGCAACATGGTGATGGATATGTGAGGTTTGAGACCAGAGTTTTTGACTCCAAAACCAAGACATGGACCAGAGGGCTAGCTGTCCACCGATCGCTTGTAAACGATGGATCAGTAGACTACGGTAAGAATTTTCTTTACTGTGCCCACAAGGACGGAGTAGTATACTGCACGCTGACAAGTTTTTGGAGTAGAAGACTGGAGCTTTGGCAGTACAATATTGACACTGGTCTTTGGGCAAACATACCATTAGATACGAGATTTGAAGAATATGAGTTCCAGACTTGTGGCCTTTTTTCTGTTGCATCCCAGATTTTGTTGGTCACCATGATAGACAGGACATACACCAACCGACATTCCATTTATTACTCCGAGTCTGCCAGAATTTACCGTTTAGACATGAAAACTCTCCAGCTATCTGAGCCATGGAAGAGTCCTCCGATGTTAACCAGATTTTGTACTTCCAACAACAATCACTCGAGGATCGTCTGTGATGACGAGTGTCTCTACTTCATCAGAGAAATTAGACGTCCAGGTCAGGGTTCCTTTCCAATCGAGATGTGGAGTTATCATGTGTCTACAGAGACTTGGAGTAATGTGTCTTCTCCTCCAAAGGAATACTTCAAACTTTGTAGTTTTCTGAAATTGGCTGATGGGAGCTTTACACCGGATTTAAAGCGGTACGCCAGCCTATAGCTTAGGCCAAATTTATACAGAATCTCTTAATATATCAAAGCCTTTGTAACATCTGTACGAAGTTTTCCGGTATCATGACTGTGAACCCTTTATTAGTTTCACCTCCACCTGATTATGGTTAGATGACCGCACTTAATACTTCGTCTTCTTCACAGCCGTGGTATCTCTTTGCCTTGGTTAGTAGCTGTATATTCTTCATGTCTTCTTTACATTTGGACGGTGCTACACCCCTCATGTACCAAACCTGTGAAAAGATAACTGCTGTTTGTGGACAACGGTCCAACGAAATGGGCGAAAATGAAAACAAGAGACAGATGCAAAACTGCCAATTTATAACCAAATATTAGAAATTAATCTCGAAGATCACAGCTAAGGCATGAGATAAAAAAGACAAAAGGGCAGCATAGAATCAATTAATATTACGTGTGAGAGTTTAATGATATGGTTCACTCAGTGGAATTTTACCCGTGAAACATCTCTCTCATCAAAGACATAAGTAAACGTCATGCCAATAGAACGCAAAGCTATTTCCACACCAATGATGAACAAAGAAGTGGGTACAAAATAAGACAGCAGAAATCATGGGAAGCTACATCTAGTCGTGAATGGATTCAATCACATTGCATCATGGGCCAGGATTCGATACTGTGTACGTAGGGAGTCAAATTGTTATTGTTAAAACGCTTGATTCTGACGAACAGTTGTTTCTTAATTCTGATGAATAGATGTTTCTTAACGGAGTTGATTTGTTTCAAAATTGGAATAGCATGTCAGAAGTCCATACATGTAAAACCGGACTGGTCATCACTACTTTTCACTTTCATGAGTAGACTGGGGCTATGGTAGAAACAGAGAGCTGGATTATGTTTCGATGACAATGATTATTATTCATTTTAATCAAATTGTTAAGGGGGTGGGAAGTTGTTTTCTCAAAACTTATTGATGCTTAGTAGATTTCGTGTACCCTCAGAAATATCAACCAATGACTGGATTGATCCAACATAAATTGCAAAGTAAACAGCTCTCACACCTTAGCAATTAAATAAATTGGACGTGGAAGTAGAACGCGCATTAGGCAGATCGAGCTATGGGTTGACTAACTATTCATCACTCCGCGAACTTGTTCTTTCAAGCTTTCAAACTTCAAGCTTTCAAACTTTTTCCACAGGAAGTTCAGAAAATTTCATGTAGTCACGTCGGTTTCAGTACAGTAACCTTAAAGATGGACCCAAGGCCGATTCATAGACATCGGTGGCACCATAAATAATATGTCAGCAACATAAATTGCAATGTGGACTAAGCTCACACACTAATTATCCAACCATTTGCAACTTGCATGAAACCTCACCAAAACTGCTCAGCAGTCGTTGAATTTGGTGCTGCACCAGATTGATCTGGACAAATTGCCATTAGTGCCCAAATCAGAGGGCGAGAAGTAGGAAAGTTCGTTATGCGCTGGGGTTTCGTTCTCAGCGACCTCGGATTGAAACTAGTGCGGCGGCCTGCGTTTAGAGCAGCAGGATGACGTCCACAGAAGCCGACAGATGAGGAAGAGTGTGCAGTGAGTAGTGAGTGGAGTGGTTGCTGGGGCAGATTTGCGCAGAGGGTTGTTGTAAGTCGTCTTATGTTGTAATAGCGTTGGAAGACAGGCAAGGCAGCAGATTATTGTGATCATTGACGGAACCTACCCCTGCCCCTGCCATCGACTTGCGTTGCTTCCGAGAGCCTTGCTCTGCAGTGGCAAAAGTCAAAGGGCACTGTCAGGGAGCGCAGTCACAAGGCGCAGAGATGGGAGGGAGGACGAGGAGAACGAGGTACAGTACGAGGTCTGCCTCTCGAGATGGTGTTTGGATTTGTGTTTCGTGTCATGAGCCAGAGTCGAAGTCGCCTCTTGCGAACGCTGATTTGACAACCGTACCGGTGGAGTCAATGACAGTCTCCTCCAGCCGTACTGTAAGAGATTGCACTCTTACAATTCATGGAGTCTGGGCTCTTACCTAACTCATCTTCTTCTCTTCTTCTGATTTTCTTTCCTTCGTCTTCTTCTCTTATCTCCTCTTTTCTCTCTGACGCTTTTGCTCGAATGTTCATTTCTCTGCACTCAGGCTCAGCCTGCACTTTTCCCAACCACTTTCATTTCTCTCTTTAGGTATCTTCAACTCACTTGGTGAGATGGTATGAAGTATGTCTTCATCGTTTCTTCATGAAGAATGAAAACCCAGAAAAACCTATTGATGAAGACGAGGAGTGAAATGGCCGGGAAATTTTGAAACGTTACCACATCTACAGAGAATGCTGCAGCTCACCTTTCATGGGGTTCTTAAAAGAAAAAAACCTTAGCTATCTGTTGATCACATGCTAGAGATAGGAAAACAAAAATAATCAATAGAACAGCTTCGCATTCCTATTATTTTCAACAGCGGCACATGAAGCAAATTACGACGGCAAAACTATCAGCAGCGTTACAAAACAAAGGCGAGAAAATAAGCCATCCCTATTGCGAAAAGGCGAAGTAGATAGCCATTATCCATTTGCACAGTCAGTCATATGCAGTGATGAAGGAATTTGACAAATAAATTCCTTTTCATCTGAGGATCTTGGTTAGCACTAGATTCCGACCCGATTGATATTTAATTGCAAATGTGAGAATGCAGTGAGAATGTAAACCTCATCCTCATGTTAAGCTTAAATTAGATCATACGAAAGCTGTGCAGCTAAGGCCAAGGTGATAGGTTCCCCACACAAGCTACAATCAAAAGTTAAGGTATAATCAAGTTTGAGAACGTAAGGCTTTTGAGTAGCATTGCACCACATCTAGGACAATACCAATAGTTGACAGACAAGAACACTCAAGCACACCGCAGGAGTAGGTATTATTATTTTAGTATTGTTATCATTTTAGTAATGTACAGGAGTACATTACTAAAATGAATGTTTTTGTTTGTACCAAAACAACAACTCCCGAATAGCGGCTATATGGATAAACCGATGTTTTCAACCTTCAAAAAATGATGCTGACCTGACCAACATGATACATATATTGAAATAACTACATCTAATAATCCTTCAAAATCAAATTTCATATGTTTTAAGGATTATCTTGTTTGTCAATCACAGAAATAAGTATAATGTCATCATGGAAAACATATAAAAACATATCATTTTGGCATTCATTTACTTTAAAACATAAATCACACACAAATCAATTTAAGAACTGAATTATTCTTATTCAACCCCTATTTCTTGAATAAATAAAATAATGAACACATATCTCACAACATCTGGATTTTACCATTAGCTGAGATCCATGTTATTTATTTTTCTTCCTATATACAGAAGCTCATATTAATCTGTATCTATCTATATGTAGAGTTCTGGTCATAATTTTAATCAAAACTCATAATTCTTTTGTTCACTGTGATATTTTTCCATCAATATGATATCAATAAATTTTTTTATGTTTGAAGATTAGTAATATTGATTAACGGATGAAGTCATAAGCCAATTTGTAAACTGTGTTTGAAACTCATTTTATTTTATACATTATTCGAATGAAGAAAAAATGGACTATTTGATTTCTTTATATATATTCAAAGTTTTCATCGATCAATTGCTACATATATATAATTTGAATGCATTTGATGGACGAAAACTTTTTCATTGCAATATCTCAGAATTTTTTTTCATATCAAGATAGTGAGTGAAAAGCATTCACATATACACAAAACACAATTATTTCAGCTTAGCAAGACTACCTTCATAGAACACACATAAACATTACTTAATATATGAATTTCTTTTGTGCAGAGTTTATCCTAGCCCTTTAAAATAGCAGAAGCTCCAATAATGTAAGAAAGTGGGTCCTAACATTTGAATATTCTGTCTTACACACGTTTTTCATTTTATGTATTGCAATCACATATTTAGCATAAGTGATGATTTTTAATCAGGATATGAGCAAATAATACGGAAAGATAAGAAAAAATATCTTTTATATATATTTGAAACTATCCAATATCAAATTGTGACAAATTCAATATGAAATTAGCCTTTGATTGCTCTTGATATCTCACAACTTGCAACTACTTGCAATGATTTCTTTGTTTTTACATATATTCCTACATAATATAAAATAATTAAAACATAGGAAAAACAAATTTTCAATCCTTGCATTTAATTTAGTTGCTTTTATTTAAAATGACTTGATGTAGTAGTTCTATAGGAGGTCAAGCCGACAGTTAAATGTCTTTTTAAAATTAATCTCTTGACTTCTAACTTCAAATAGATTAAATATTTTTACTCCATTTCTTACTAATGTGTCGTTCTTTCATTTTTTTAATCTTAACGGCTGCTTCTGTGTTCTACGGATGGATCTCCTTATGCAAGCCTGATCGAATTGATAATATTTTAACGCAACTCACAAGAGTTGGCTGCAACATCAAAAGCCTACCAGTGTGGTCTCTCTAAAACTCTACTTAAATGCAGCCAGAAAGCTAAGATACCAAAGATTTGCAGAGAGATAAAAGTAATTTAGAGACTGGAAGCAAAGGACAAAGACTAGACAAATGGAATGGATAAAAGCCCACAGAAAAGGGAAACAGAGCGAAGGAACAATACAAAGAAGGGAGCAAAGCAAAGTAAGAGGAAGCTTTTAAAAAGCAAACAAAAACAGTATCATGACTCTTAATTTGAGGACTGAAATATCCTCCGGGTAAGGTGCGACAATGGTGTCTCCAGTTGGCAGCAGACTTGATCTCATAAATAGGGACTCATTTTTTATATCTATCCAACCTTCTGATTAAGCATCGAAAAGAGACGATGGACACGCATGTAATAAACACAGAGATGACATGAACCACAAGTCGCTACAACGAAAAGGCCACCAAACACAAAAACCCACCCCAAGCCAAAAGAAAAAAGGAGAAGTTCATCTTTCTATGGTGAAATCTCGCTATCCAAATATGAAAACTGAAGTTGTACACTTGTATTCTGTTGAATGTACTGTACAGTACTCCACGGAAGCTCACCATATCCTGTATGTGAGGTCATGGAATACGTATGCTTTGCATAAGTTTTGTTCGCTGTC